TTGCAATTGATCCCGTTGTTCCTGCATTTTTCTCTCGATATGTGAAAAATGCTTCTCTTGAAACTTTTTGATCCGCTCAAATCCGCTTACTACTTCATCTACAGTATGAGAAAACATATCTTGTACATTCTAAGATGATCCAGGTTCAATAATTGTTCTTCTTTTACCCTTTCTAAAACAATAGCACCAACCTGAACTGTTGCATCTTCCTCCATTTCATCTCTAATCACAAACCATTCACCTGCCATATTCTTTTTAATTAAATCCATTTTACACAATGTCACATCCCCTAACAAATTATTTGAAGAAAGCTTAATCTTATTTGCTTCATCATTAGGGGTGATCTAAATACCCAACTTCTCACATATTAACGTAACAAGCATCCCCCAATATATTTCTCATTTTTCTGCTTGAATCTTTCCCAACTTCTTAATCAATAACTTTGTTGAATTTACTTGCCTCCTAGCTATTGCTGCTTCCATGAACAATAAATCATTAACCATCACATTTCCATTTGTCTATTTTCTGCCATTAAATGTGTAAGTCAGATATCTATGAAATACTCTCATAGTAGATTCTTTAATATTGTAGATTTACACCTATGTGAATGGTAATTCCCTATTCTTGAAACATCCGTCCAAGCTTGTTTAGAATCCCACAATCTAGATACGTTATCCAAACCTTCAAAATCAAATCCTATCCAGGTTGCTAAATCTTGCTGTCTCACTACAAAATTCTTATTCTTTAATCTAAAAAACATTGTATACGTCGAAAACTTATCAGTATCTGTCTCCACAACTTCCAAACTACCAAAAAACTCATAGATCAAATGCTTATATCCATCATATCTAAAACTCACCAACTGGTCCCATTTCAAATTACTAATCCAACAATTATTTTTATCAAATAAACCCAAACTTGTTATAAGTCCTAAATCCAAACTTCTTCCAAGGCAAATATCTCTTTTCGACACCTCCTCGTATTGCTTTTTATGTCGCATGTCTCGAAATTAGACTCCAGATGACGATGTGCCTCCATGAGGAATGATTGTATTTTTTGCTCTTACCATTTTCTGCTTTCTTCTAAAACCTGTATATATAAAAAATTTGAACATGAGAGAAAACCCACATTATAGACCCACTTTTAAGAAACAATTGGCGTTTTGATTCAACAATGAAAAAAAAAAAAAAAAAAAACCACACAACATCAATGGAGCAAAGAGACAAACCACACAACTTGGTACAAGTAAAACGGTTAATGGAATACTTTAAGCCTAAAACCTAACACCGATAGAAACACACTCACAATTATAAAATAAAACCTAATAGCTGCTTGTCTGATCATTCAAATAAATAACCCAGTGTAAGATTTCCTTGGAGATAAAACTAAAGTGCCTTTGATTCTACAGTCAAGTGGATGCACGGTTGTAAAACAAATTCAATACATGAACAACTTCTTAATGTCCTGCACCACACTTCTTATGTTTCTGATGAGAACACTCTGAAAACTCAACAAAATAGTAAAATAATAATAGCCAAGAAATAGGAAGAAAATAGATATGTGTATTGATATTCAACAAATTGATAACAATGGTAACAAACAACAAAATATACCCAACACATCAACCCAAAAAGACAAAATCAAAATATTAAACGAAAAACAATGCTAGACTTCGAGGGCCAGCTCATCCCTAATTGCTAACTTCAAGGGTTAGCTCCTCCCAAATTTCCCTATATTCTTCTCCCCCTAATCTGCTCTCTCCCTCTTTTTTTATCCTCCAGCTCTCTCTTTCTCTCTCCCTAATTGAATTCTTTTGCTATCCCAACCCCCGATCGCCACCTGTCCTAGCCTATGCCCATGAAAGTTTCCTGCCAACATCCCCTCAATCCACTGCTTGCTATCTTATTTCACTTTTCCTACACCCTCATTATCCAAGTCCCATCAGTTTCCCACCCAGCTCTGTATTATACATGTCTGCAATGCCTCAAGAAAGTATAACTCATATTTTCCAGATCAATCATATTCACATAAATTATGTTCCCTATTTTTCATGTCTTTAAATAAATTGAAGACCAAGTTGCTGATACATTTTTGTACTAAAAAAGACAGGATGTTTAAATGCTTCCCAGACCTTGGTAGAATGCGTTGCATGGGTGCATTTAAAGCAAACCAGGCTTTCATAGATACTGATAAGTGCAATTAACACAAGAATTTATTTCAAGGTTCAGATGCAAGCAAGAAAGAGGAGAAAAGGAAAATAGAACAATTATAAAGGACGTCTTCCATAAAAATAAATGGAACCTTTTCAGAAAAAAAAAATCAGGGCATAAAAAGACATGTCTCCATCAAGGTTTCAATCAAAACAACTCACATACTAACTGTTGGCTACCAAGCACAATTCACCACATTCATATATACAACATATTCAGGCACACAGAAGGGATTCCAATACATCATGTTAGGACCACCAGTGGGCAATCAACTTTGCCTTTAAAATAATATTTAAGTTCTTCACCAAAAATAAATCTCAATCAGCTTATCTTGATTGGAAAGTACTCTTGGCAGTAATGCTGGGATCTACAACTGATGCTTCACTTACTTTTCCTTGACAATTAGCCGTACAGCAACATTTCCAGGATGTGCTAGTAAAGCAATGCTCAACTGATTTTAGAGAGCTCTTCTCGCCGATAAATTGGTGACTACAATGAAATCTACATATCTACCTTTCAGTTGTTATAATGTGTATGCATTGATATTGCTTTATGTGGGGTTAAAAAGAAGATTACAAAAATTGTTTTTCTTTACTCCTTCAACACATGCGTCACACAATTGCCATAACAATGGAGACCCTATGACTTGATTTCCAGAACTTACTTCATTGCTTGGTTATAGTGTTCATCAAATCTTCAACGCAAAATTTATGATCCGTAGACACTCTATATTTGCAAAACTAAAGAACATTCCACTTGGATCCGTAGAAGTATGGTGCGGGACATTATATATGGACATTATACAGAGCTGGGTGGGAAAAAAATTCAGAAAAAGTTGATTGTAGCTCTTAATGTGATGCATGAATGTTTTGAGCCTTAACAGGGAGAGATCTTTTTGAAGAGGTTATAATGAATCAAGGATCAGACCTGAAACGTCTGAACTTTCGAGGCTTCTATACAATGGTTTCAGAGAGAAACGAAGAAGTAATATCGGTGGCTAATTTCAGAGTTTATGGAAAAGTGGCGGAGATACCAATTGTAGCTACAAGGCTTAAGAGTAATACTACACTTACAAAGAAATTTTATAAAGATCTCTATACAAAGTGATGTGTCAAAAAATGAATGGAAGAGTGAATTTAATATGTTTGACTTTTTGTTTCACTCTTCCATTCATTTTTTGCCACCTCACTTTGTATGTAAATCTTTCTAAGATTTCTTTGTAAGTATAATATTATTGCAAGACTTAAATATCAGAAAAATAGTATGTGTTGTCTTCTAATGAATGTGCTTGAAAGGCTTCTGGTTGCATTAGGAGTGGAGAGGTTAGTGTTACCTTCAATTCCTGATAATCTAAACATGGCAACTATGAAAAGGACTTGATGAAGTGGAGCATTCTCATAATGTGGAGACTGATATGGCTCTTAAACATTGTACCAAACTGATATGCATGATCATAAAATTCCAAATGTGGGAGAAGAAAGTCGAGGAATCTATGATAACACTACTAGAAATGAGCCTTAAATCTGTTTTACTGGAGAATCACTTACTAGAGCTAAAGTTAGTACAAAAATGAAGTGGAGGACAATGATCTGCAAGAAAAAGACTAACAGATATGAGATAAGATAACACAGCTATCATAACAAACAAATTTGAGCATATACTGAGAAAAGCCTTTACATTCGTTCAGCAAAAAAATTAAGGGAAAAGAACGCTAACTACAGTATAAAAATTGCCTATATGTTATAACATCTTTCTGGATATGAAGGTGCACGCGAGCTATACAATGATTAAAAGTGGGCATATCATTAATTGTAAAGATAAAGAAAAAAAAAAAAACCTATATCCGGAAGCTGGCATTGAATCAATTCCTTCGTATGAAAGTTTAGAATTATGGCAGCAATCTACAGTTTAAATTTTACTTTTTCCTAGCATCTCATTGAGTTCTTTACAGCTCAATCAACCTCAATAATCAATCAAAACCAATAAAACATGATGAACAAAAACCAAATTAACTCAATAACTTACTATAACAATGGCAGATGGCTTTGACGAAGAAGAAGAGCGACAGATGAAGGAAGAGCGGCGGCAGACGAAGAGGAAGAGCAGTAGATAAGGTCCTTTTGTTTTTTTAAACTTTTTTGGACCAAAATGTTTAGACCTAATTTTTTTTTTTTTTTTTAAATCCTCGTAAAAGCGTCCATATGCTCCTCCATTAAATACGGCGCCGTCCATGATCTATGGGTGGACAACTGGACATCCCTAATTTTTGTGTAAAATTTTTTAATTTAAAAAATAGAGTAGGAGATTCGTTCATTGAGCAAGGATGATCATCCATAATATAGAATGTTTATGATTTTTGTTTTTAATTTTTTTTAAATTTAAACTATGGATATACATAATTTTAGGTGAATGTTTGTCCATATTAGATAAACTCTCATCTATATAATATGAATGAGAGTCTATTATTATCCATTTAAAATAAATTATCGTAAAAAAATCATGAATACCTATTTATATTTAATGAACAATCATCCAATTATTAAATATTTATTAATATATTATTGACTATATCTACTGACACGTCATTCAATGCAAGCTTTTGCTGCACAACATTATTGATTTTAACATCTTCCTGGATGAGCCTAAACTCAGGGCAGGGGGTGTATGGTAATTGATTATTATTTCAAATAAGCAATTTTTTTGTTTTTTTTTCAAAATTAAGCTTTCAATCAATTTATATTTGATATTTTTCAACTTGTTTCCTTTCATCCATGACACACAGAATTAGCAATGGCTTGTTCGGCTTGGCTTCACTCGTCTTCTTTATCACACACTCTGCTTCCAGTTCTCTGCCGCCAAACTACTATCTCCACTATTTTCTTGCGGTTCAACCGCCTCTCCTCCGCTGCTCGCTTCTTCTCCTCAATTGGCCGGACCAACGCTCTGGTTTTCGCCCTGGCCAAGCGCCGTGATGGTTCCTTGTCGCTCAAAGAAGACCTAGTCGCTTCTCGTAAGCAAACCTCACTGCTCTTACTCTTAAATCTTTTTTTTTCTTTGTAGATTTTAAGTTTGTGCTCGTTATTTTTTCTTTTCTTTTCAGCGGCTGATCTTCATTTTGAACCGCCACTAAAAATTGTGGATATCCGACCCGAATTGAGGGCGAGAAACCAAAAGAATGTGTCCACGTTTGAACATCATTTGAAGAAACTTGTCGATGGATATTTCGACTTATGTATAGTAGCGTTTTCTTGTTCTCTGTTTTACACTGCATGACTTGCGAATGTTTTGGCTATTTTATGATTACCTCTTAATGATATTAAAAATGGCGTAAACAAAAGTACTATGTAGATATTGTAAGCGTGACGTGTGAGGCTAACACGTTTATGTTGAAGTAATTTTATGTGACCTGGGGTACAATGAAGGGGAGGAAAAAAAAAAGGTACAGGAGAAAAGGGGGGAAGAGGGACTCAGAAAGAGGAGGAGGAGCAAATAAGATACAGGCACGTACTGCGAAGATAAAGAAAAAGGATTAAAAGTGGAAGAAATAAGGCAAAACAGGTGAGTCGAATCGCCCTCTATAAACATCTTAATGGTGCGAACAACTGATAGCTCCAAAGTCGAAGAAAAAGGGGTAGATGAATGCACGGACATAAAAAAGGGTGAAGGTTGACAATTAGGATTGGCTGAGGGTACGGGAAAGATGGAAAGTAAAAAGAAATTAAAATGGGATTAGAATTAGAAAAGGTAGTGGGGGCCGGACTCGTGAATGGGATGGATTTAGGTCAAGGAGGGGTATAATGAGTAATGAAATGTACTAATAAGAGAAGGAGGATAGCGTAAAGAAGAAGACATATGAGGCAGTAGAAAAAATAAATAAAAAGGTTAACAAAATAAATGGGAGTGGTTATATGAGTGAATCAGCAAAGGAGTGAAAATAGTAAGACTTGGGGTTTCTTTCCCGTTAATTTATGCAAGTTGACAATAAGAAATACTAGATAACAAAGGACAGGAATACATGGGTATTGGGGAGATTAACAAGCAACAAGCCAGTAGGAATTGGAATGGATATAGAGCGAAAAGGATGACGGTAATCAAGGGGGCAAATAAATAGCTACTTGGAAAAGTTATTGTATGGGGTTAAGTAAAATGTGAGAAGTGGTAGGATAGATATGGAAAGAGTGGGGAGAGGAAGGGTTAGGGCAATAGAGCTAAAATGACTGGATCGAAGATTTGATACAAGAGAGATCCATAGAATCATGTACTATTCTGCTTTGCTAATTGGAAGTCTATTATTCTGATATTGAGGCGTTTCTAACTATGATCTTTAAAAAGTTAACCTTGCTATTTAGAGGAGTGTGAGAACGAATAGGTTGTTGGATTCCACATGTTGTATAGGAGAAAAACAAAGCATGGATGGCGAAGGGTGATGTACTCTGCGGGGGGCGACCCGGCGGCAAATTGAGTGAGAAGTGGAAGGGTGGGGTGAGCAGACGGGGGGGGTGTCAAATGGTGTTTAAGTAACAGCCATATTGGTTGATGTGAGTGGAGGGATGACAAGGGGGACATAATGGAAATCACAATCATTGAATCGCAAGGGAGGTTACAGGATAAAATGGGTGCAGGAGAAGAACGGAAGAAGTGCGTATTTTTAACACAGTGTCAATCGGTTGTGGCCGTAGTCCTTAAGTAAGCGACGAAGTAGAAGGACAAAGTACAGTGAATGGGGCCGGGTATGTTGGCAGGTAGGATTACAGAATACTGGATTGAGTGTAATTTATTAAAACGGACGATTAAAAGACCAAAGGGTCGCTGTTGTGTCAAAAAAGAGGTGTCGATAAGGGAAAGAGGGAAAAAAAAACAAGATGTGGCGGGGAGTGTCTGGATGCTGCATCGCGCAAAAAGAGTTGGTGGAATACAAGGGTTATTGAGAACAGAAGAGGCAGTGATACATTAAGCAAGGATGAGGAAGTTGGGGGTACTTTGAGATTGTAATAATCAAAATCGGATGTCCTGAAGGGGGGGGGACGGATTTGAAGTGGGTGGGCAAAATCAGGGGGGGGGTTGGTTTATGGATCTCCTGTCTTGTTTAATTATAAAATATGTGGGCCAGGGGGAATAAAAGAGGCAGACAAAGCGATACGCCAGATAAATGGGACAAGAAATTATGACATGGTCTTGGGAAGAGGGGGTGTGGGGGGGGGGGTGGGGGTAAAAGGGGGGTAGCGGGGAGCAGTGGAAAAAAAATAAAAAAAACAAAAAATCAAGTGTGTGTTCAGGTTTTTCTGTTGAGAATGTCTGTACACACAGGTAACATTGAAGTATTGGCAAAACCATACCGTGGATAATGGTTGGAAATAGGAAGGGGGGGGCGAAGTGACGCCAGGGAGAGATACAACAATGAAGTTTGGGGATGGATGGAATAGGAAAGCGGTAAAGGAGGTGTGACAGAATAGCATTGTCTATAATAAGGGGGGGGGTGTTAGGAGGCGTGGGGGTAGCTATAGATCACACAAGAGAGGTCGCGCCAAAAGAATGTGTCCTTGGCAGAGATGGGCTCTGCATCTAGCATTTTTGTCCTAACATGTCATCTCCATAGGCGGGAGTCGCAGGCACAAGCGATTGAAGGGAGTATGTAAAGACCGACGGGAGAGGCACAGAACCCAATCTTGGACTGGGTAGTTAAGAATCAAGGCTGAGGCGACAATTGAGTGATTGTGTGTGATGTTGACACTATGTGCGTGGTGGTGGGTGGTTGCGTATTAGGTGAAAGAATAGATAGCTGCGCAAAATGGTGGTGTATAGCTCGACTTTGTTTTTGGTTTGGTGTGTGTGTGTATCACATGTGCAAGTGGTAGTGGGCAAAGGTGCGCTGATCATGGATAGGAGCTAGAATGGAATGGGGAAACTATACGCGTCATCATAACGCTCGTAAGTTCAACAAGAGCAGGACAGGGCAATAGAAGGAGTGGGTCAATAACAAGAACGAAGGTGGCAGCACATTGCATGGCAGGGACGCGGCACGACAATCGGTGAAGGATAGGCAAAGTGACAAAGAGCGAAGAAGTGACGTACAGAGGATTAGACGGTGAAAGGTATATGTGCATTCGAATTTGTCTTGGTCTTCCTGCACGGAAGTATGCCGCATGATGTGTGACCATTAAATGGGAAAGGGAAGTATGGGGAGGGTGAACTAAAGTTTGAGTATATACTAATTGTCTGTTGGCAGAAGTGAACGATTTGGTCCGCGTTGACATTGATGTGTTTGTGAGATAGAACGGGAAATATGTGTGTAGAAATTTTATATAGGGGTACAAACACACTGGGGGTGGTTGAGAGCGTATACTGCGGGGAAAAGTTGATGTGACACATGAAAAGAAGTACAAGATGTCACACACATGTGGACCACACGCGGAGGAACCGCTCTGATTTTATTATTATAGTTTTTTCTCTTCGCTTGCAAAGTATGTTTCGATAGTAATCTAAAGGGCCACAACTCCGGCATTTCCTACTTGTTATCTTGCATTGGTCTGGTAAATGTCAGAATTAATCAATGCATTTTTTAGGGTCATGAATGACTTCTTTTTGCTAAAATCTTTTATAAATCTGCAGGGGATTTTGTTCTTTGATAATGACTGAAGAAGTTCTTGACAGTATCTTATCCAGTTACAGGTGAGCAGAATCATGACTAGATTGTTGTGTTCCATCAGATGAGAAAATTTTCTATTTTTTTTTTTTACTTGGTAATATTATGCCCTAGCGTATGAAAACGAGATTATACCTGGACAAAATGTAGAACTTTGCTTTCCCACTGCTTGGAAACTATATCCATAGGCCAGAATGGGCAGGCAGTGGACGAGCAATTACTAATTTCTTTTTCAAGGTTGAAAGCCTGATCTCAATAGTAGTTTCTTGGATCTTTTAGTGGCTGGAAACAGTTATATTATAGTCAATAAAGTATCAAGGCATTCCCATCTCTCATGCTTTGGAAAGATTTACTTCCATCGATGAATTGTTGACTTCGTAGATCAGTTTTGCTATTGAGGTTGCGGATTCATTAAGAAAGAAATATTGTTTTAATTGTGTGATGTGGACACTGATCTCTCTCACACACATAGACACATGCGTGCTTGCATGTTGATTAAACAATTAGCAAAATCATGTTTAAATGCTAGTAAAAAGTTTATTAGGTCTGCCAATAGCGTATGTTTTCATGGCTTGGTTTACAAAGTAAAACATCAATTCATCAACCTATGTTCTGCTAAGTACCAGTGAAACTTGATAACCAGCACTTATATATGGGAATATGTTTGAAATCTACCAGATTTCACTCAGTGAGCTCTGAAGCACCAACCTAAGCACTAACAACCTAACAGAATTGACTGGCAATACTTGGCACACCTAGTTACTCTGTGCACGTGAATCTTAGTTCTCAGTGGCACTCTGGCTGTGCTGAATGTTATCATGTATGAGCTACCTTTCCATAAAGTGGGTCTCAGATATGCATAATTTCGAAAGTTTTAGCCTAACCTAAAGCACAACCCATTATGTTGGCGAATTTAAAATTCTTGTTGACAATACTCAATCATTTTGTTTGTAGAGGTTTTTGTTTTGTCATTCCACTGTATGATATATATATAAGTGAAGACCTAAGGGTAGTGAGCTGTCCTGATTTTTGAATATTCAGGATATATTGTTTTTTTTGCCTAACGCTGATGTAATTTTTCCAGGCCTTAGAAAAGAATGAAGATAAGACTGGATTCCCAAGCCCTGAAAGGGTAGAAGCACATAGGGAGAGCTGCAGTCGTTTTGGAAAATCATAAATATACAATGGGCTTCCTCAAATAAATCAGGCTTCTATAAATTGTAAACTGATATTTTTATTCATTGTCACCTGAATTAATATTTAAACTTGTTCTTATTTTGTTGTGTTATGTTAATAGGATAGTGGAGCTTAGGCATGATGCTGAACATGTAACATTCAAGAACTTGCTGAGCAGAAGCGTGTAGTGAACACATTAACAACGAATAACAGGTTATCAATACCAGATTATGTTATTACACATACTTTTAACATACACTGGCAATGAGGACAAGAAGTAACAACATCTATTTGTGCTCCATCGCTTTGTTCTATATTAGCAATTTTAATAGTATGATGAGAATTGAATGTTTTCTCTCATGTGTGTGTGTTAAGTGGCAAAACTAGATTGCATTCTTTTTATACAATATACTCATTTATTTTTACTGTTTGTTGTATTTATTGATTCCATGTC